AATACTTGTGTATCACGTGTGTGTATTACGTGACACGGGTCACAAAAGATAAACAAACATTCGATCACATTGTACGCTTATCTGTATCCTCAAACATTATGGGTAATTTTAAATTATCTGTTTTAGAAAATAATTTGAAGAAAAATTCAGAGATTTATACGTTTCAGCGAAGGATTAGAAATGTCATAAATATTTCTGAACTTTTCGTACTAAATGTCATATGGTCATAGCGTTGTGGTCGTTGCATTGGACTTGATCTTAGCTTTTACATTATGACGATAAAAATTGCACACAAGTAAATAGATGACATTATTTTTCATTAGATTTATGAACAAATTTGTACGATTATTTGCCATTTTACTGTATTTTAGCTTTGCTTTTCTGTGTCACTTTGGGTGATCTTGAATGACCTTCATAAAATAGTTCATTGTATTCGCCTCGAAACACTCTATCAGAATGTAAGTAAAAAAACTTACTGTTCCATTTAAAAAAACAGAATTGCCCTTCATATTTCCTTGACGCCTCCACCTACAGAAAAATTAGTAATACCAGATTATATATATATATGTACCCCCCGATACCAAGTAAGTTTGGTCTAATGTATTTTCTCCTATCTTCAAAAACAATCGAGTTATTCAGGTGACCTGTTTAAAATGCCCCACCCTGTATATATATACATGGTGTCCCAAAATTATGGTACTTCCGGGAAATGAGAGATTCCTGAGGTTATTTGAAGCAACTTTTTCCTCAGCGAAAATGCAATCCGCGGCTTCGTTTACGCGTTATTAACGAAAAACAGTGACCAATGGCAAGCGAGCTCGGGTGGCGCGCGCCGGCTGAGCCAACGAGCGCATGGAGCTCGGTTCCGCTGATTGGCCCGGTCGTCTAGCGCTAACTGAGCTCGCCTTTCATTGGTCAGCGTTTTTCGTTAATAACTCGTAAACGAAGCCTCATAGAACATTTTCGCTAAGGAAAAAGTTGCTTCAAACGACCTCAGGAACCCCTTATTTCTCGGAGATACCATTATTTTGGGACACCCTGTATATCGCAAAAATTGCTCGAGGAAATTATAACTTGTGCCAAGCATGCATAATTATATTTCTGTGAAAAAAATATATATTGTCAATTAGGGAGAATTCGCTGTACATAACTGGAACAGTGTAAAAATCACAAGATTCGTATACTTTTTACTCACCCCTCCCACCCTCTAAACTTCTAAAAGTTTGTGTCTCAGACTGGCAAGGTTGTTGTTGGCGAGATCGAAGAAGAATCTGCTCTTCTATAAGATTTCTTGTTGATCATATGGGTATGGAGAGGAGAGGGTGGGTTTCTAATTAACGGAAAGTATTCAGGAAAGCGATACGTAGACTGAAATCTTTGTCCCTTAGATGCAACAGTACGGCAGCTTTTGTCTGAGGCTCGGCGCAGTGGGATTTGGCGCCGGCTCGCTGGTATTTACGGGATTGCAAATTGGGGCGGAAATAGCTTCCGGCCCGTTCAGGGCGATTACACCAGGAGCGAGGCTGCTGCTGGTCACGGCTCAGATGCACTTCATATTTCTGAACAGCAAGAGCCTTAAGCTCTCGAAGCACACCGCCCTCGCGAAACTGGGCCTGATGCACATGATCGCTACCAACCTCTGCGAGTGGCTACAGGTGACGCTCTTCACCTTAACCTTAATGTAGTGAATTTTTTATTTTTTTTTATTTATACTAAATTATATTTACAACTAGCTTCATTAAGCTAACCAGCAAATTTGATGAATTAATTATAATATATAATTAATTATTATATATTATATTTAATTAATTAATTATAATATATTATTAATATATGGCTTACATGCGGTAAAACGCTCAATAATGATACACAGGGTGTCCCGGAAATGTCTCGTAATCCGGAAATGAGAGGTTCCTGCGGTTATTTGTAGCAACTGTTTCCTTTGCAAAAATTTTCTCCGTGGCTTCGTTTTCGAGTTATTAACGAAAAACACTGACTAATAAGAGGCGAGCTCGGCTGGCGCGCGGCGGCCCAGCCAACAAGTGCACGGAGCCCAGTTCCGCTCATTGGCTCGGCCGTCTCGCGCCAAACGATCTCACCTCTGATTGGCCACTGTTTCTCGTTAATAACTCGTAAACCAAGCCGCGAATTGCACTTTCGCTAAGGAAAAAGTTGCTTCAAATCACCTCAGGAATCCCCTACTTTCGGATTGCGAGACATTTTTGGGACACTCTGTATTTACTGACACATTTTAATGACATCTCTTACCGATATGTTTTTCCCTTGAAGCTTCGACCGGTCGAGCTATTCTGACCGAATAGAATTTTCTTGATTTACCATCGTTGCGATTAATCAACCCTCTACAGTCCGTAATTTGTATACAGGGTGTTCACCGTAACGGTCGCCACGTTTTTTGAGGCATTTAGGCCAGTCTGACCGAAAAAAGGTTTCGAATAAAAGCTATTCGGTATTTTGATAGGAATAAAGTGCGTTAATAACAATTGCAGAAATTTTCTTTATTCAATAAGAAACTAAGGTCACCTTGACTTTTTTAAATAGCACTATGTATTTTTAACTCCATGTTGTTATAGCTGATGCAAAAATGAATTCAGTGATCTGCTGTACAATGACCTTTGGATGACCTTGAGCTCAAAAATTGGCAATAACTAACTTATAAATTGGTTTTTTTTACAAGGATGATATCTCGTTGCGGTGAACACCCTGTATAGAATCAAAATAATTGACGTAACTTGAAACCTCAGCGATTCTTTTCGATAAACGGATAACACGGTGTGCATAGAATAATTGTTATAAGATGAACCGTCTAGACGCGTCAGTTTTTCTGTAAATAACAGTTAAAGTAACAGTTTATTAAAAAAAAAAAAAAACGGTTGCGACAAAACTATAAGACAGGTTGGAGTTTCTGTAATAAATCAACAAACAGAATTCTTTTTGTTACTCTGTAATAATATAATATAATAACCCTCCGTTTTTACTACTTCCAACATTCTTTGTGGTAAAGATTTATACAGTTCTCTAATTATGTTTCGCTTCAAATTCTTCCATGTACCATCAATACACCCTTTTTAGTTCTTCTATATATTATATTTAATTTTTATATATAATTATTATATATTTTATATTATATATTAATATTATATTATATATTTTATATTAATTATTTGTATTAATATATATATATATATATATATATTATTTTATATTAATATTATATTATATATTTTATATTAATTATTATATATTATATATTTTGTTTTATTTTTGCAGTATGCACAGCTGCATTATCTATAGCTTTTTTCCATGCAATATTTTGTATAATCGAAAACTATTGCACACACAATACCATTTTAAATACCGCGCAGTTTTCGAGACCGCTGACTCACGTATTTCATAAAACCGAACAACATGCTTTTTCATAGTGCAAGAAATATTACTACGAGCGAAAGAAGAATAAATGTCTACGTTACACAGAATTTTTCGAAATTCTCGCGAGTGTATTATAACCTTGTCGAGGTGTGTAGCCATACAATAACCTCCAATAGGAGGTAATATACAGGGTATCCCAAAAATGTCTCGCAATCCGAAAATGGGGAGTCCCTGAGGTCATTTACAATAACTTTTTCCTCGGCGAAAATGCAATCCGAGGCTTCGTTTACGAGTTATTAACGAAAAACGCTGACCAATGAGAGACCTGCTCGGCTGGCACGTGGCGACTGAGCCAATCAGCGGAACCGAGCTTCGACCGCTCGTTGACTCGGTCGCCTCGCGCCAGCTAATCCTCGCCTCTTATTGATCAGTGTTTTTCGTTAATAATTCGTAAACAAAGCGGCGGATTGCATTTTCGCGAAGGAAAAAGTTACTTCAAATAAGCTCAGGAACCCACCATTTCCGGACTGCGAGACATTTTTTAGACACCCTGTAGCATAACCTCCAATTTGATCGCGGTGCTTTAAACGCTATTATTAATACTCACGTTTCGCGTTCGTCGGAACTCCCAAAGCGTCCCACTGAAACGAGCATTTCGACAGGAGTTTCAATCAGTTGAAATTCTTTTCAAATACCCTTTTAGAAAAGATATCGGTAAGGAAATATCGCGCTATGAATATTAATGCTGCATTAAGAATCGACGGGTGAAACGTGCGAATGAATTTGTACATTGTATGTCCACATCGATCCTCGGTCACCGAGTGTATTACCTTGGAAAGTTCTCTCCAGACCCGGCGATACAAATCGAATGAAAAATTAATGTCCCGTTCGAGGTAATTATAAAATTTGACGAACAACGGCGGTACGCGAGCATAGGGAGAACAAGTGTATTCTCATAAATATTATATTATACGAAGAGTGTATTATGCCGAGCACACACAGTATTCGGTATAAAGTAGCTTGAAGCGGGAAATGGAAAACACACTTGTTCCTGGTAACGAGATATCCACTCGTTCAATTTGCATTCCTATTGATAGGATAGGGTTTAAATAATTGATACGTTTGTTCTGTAAACAGGTAATGTCTGCTCGATATGTCGGAGCTACTTTAACTTGCTATTAAACATTTCATAGCCGCTGTGCTCTGTACAGTATATTTATGAAATTATAATTATATTATTAGTTCGAAGAGAAACTTTTTCATTTTTGATTAAAACGGAAAAATTGCACTGATATCGATCTCTTCAAATTACAACAAATTGGCCTGCTGGTAAATATCATTCTGTTAATAATTGCAACGTGCAGAAACAAGAATATTAGAAATTTATTACGTTGTCACCGAGACGAATCGACAAACTTCAACAACTACAAACTTGAACATCTGTGAATTAACGATTACTTGATTTCACATCGGACGAGCGTGCAGTCCGAAATTGAAATTCGAAAGAAAAACCAGCGCAAAGTACGTATTGATAAATCGAGGCTCTGCCTTGCAAAAATCTCAAGTTTTTGTCATTTTTGGCATGTCTATATAGGCTAGCGGAGCCGGTTACTGTGGGGTAACAAATTGCCGCGCCCACGACAGAGTTCTACATATTTAATTCGAATAACGAACCAAATTTTATTCGAAGATACTTTCGAAATATTATCCAAATATAATTTTGTTCGAAGTAATATTATTATTGTGCAGTGATCCGGATCCAATGTCATTCATTTTATTCGAGAGGACTCGGGAAGTACAGTCGAGCCTTCTACACTCCCGGACAAAAATATAACACGCGTGTGCTATCATTTAGTTCTCAAGCATCAATTAAAGAATGCTCGAAATTCTACGAACGGTGCGTAAACATCGTCTCACGGTAACACACTATACAGCGACGGACTAGAACTACGCTGTCCGCGCTTGTATTTACAAACAAAAGTCGCGTAGCAGAGGTCGGCGGAACGATGGCACGCTCGACTCTCCGTTCGGATTTCTCAGAGTGTTTCTACGTTTCGAATCGTACGGACGTAGCGTTGTGCAGGCGCTCGGTGTCGGTAGAATTTCCAATCGTCGTTGAACAAAATGGGCCGCGACGAGGAATTGAACGAAGAAGAAATATGAGCGATCTTGAAATCGAGGAAAGAAAAGTGCTCGATATGAAAAATTGCGAAAGCTGTGCCGAGGAGGCAATAATTATGATACACGGAAGAGCGGCGGACGACCGGCCGCTATTTCTGACAGAGAAAAACGCGCCGTATCGCGTGCTGCGTCGAACTCGTGTCACGCGTCGCGTGAAATTGCTCGAAACGCCGGAATCGAAACTAATGCGAGAAATGTTCGTCGTATTCTCCGGACGTGCGACGATATTACACGACGAAAATTAAAACGGAAACCAGCGTCGACGACGAGACGCAAGGAGGCTCGTGTCAGCTTCGCGAAACGACGCATACGTTGGAAAAAGAGATGCCGGCGAATTATATTCACCGACGAAGAAGATTCAACCTGGACGGTCCAGACGGTTTTGATTATTATTATCGTGACGTACGAAAAGAGGAATCGTGAAAAGTGCGACGTCAAACGAGCGAAGGGAGTATAATGATTTTCTTTTTCTTTTTCATCTCGAATATCATTCCTTCAAAATCGAACTTAGTAAATACAAATTTGCATTACTTTTCAGGCATACATTTCTACTCGACTTCAAAACGAATACAAAAATTCCAATATACAAATACATCACCGTGAGACGACGTTTACGTGCCATTCGCAGAATTTCGAGAATTCTTAATTTATCCTTGAGAACTAAATGACAGCACACGCGTGCTATCTTTTCGTCCAGGAGTATGTATAACATCCGTAACATCAAATTCTAATAGAAAATACGAATTTGCTGGTGGACGACCCGTGGTACATATATCGATTTATATACTATGTTATATACTATATATATATACTATTATATACTATATATATACTAATATATATACTCTCTAATATAGTATAATATATTATACTGTATTATATACTATACTATTATAATATTTAGCACTATTATTATTATTCGGTCCGCGCAACGGAACATCGAACTGACGATATCCAGGCAAGCGTTGCGACCGCTTCAATTATATCAACGAGTCCGCTAAACTGTTCCGTTTGCCTTGCTTTTTGCCGGTCGCCGTCCACAACCGAAGGCGCTCGTCGAGGAAACGCAGCACGAAATCAAGCAGCTGGGCCACACGCACAACAACGAGGCCGGGATCCTGGAGTCTTTGCTGCGGGACGCGAGCCCGTTCCTTTTCCCGTGCACGATCGAATTCAGTTTAATTTGCGCGGTGATACTGTTCGAGATGTGGAAGAGGGTGGACGAAACGGTCGACGCGAAGGGCGAGAGCTCGACGCGATCTTCGTACCACCTTAGCATAGATTGCAGCAGCTCTCACAGGTCGGGCAGGAATTTAATTAAATCGATCAGATGCTCCGCGTGTTCGTTTGTTAAATGCGATACCGTTAAAAGATTTTAAGTCGCTCCCTGCGCCCCCCACCCCACCCCGCGCCGCGTCGATCCGGCCGCTTTCATCTAAACGTAAACAATCCATGCGTGCTTCAGGGGCCTGTTCGGCGGGATCCTGGTCGTCGCCGCCACGATATTAAGCCTGATTATGTTCTTCGTTCTGAAGGAGGCGAAAATGAAAATAGCGGTGGTGCAGGTCACCGCGCTGGACGCGACTATATTAGCGTTAGGTAGGTACGGATCCCGTGTCCCTGTCGAACACTCTGTGTATGTGTGTGTGTGTATACCCCCCCCCCCC